GGCTGAAGGCCCTCTGTGCCCCCCCCCCCCCGATTCAGGGCCTGGTCCTCCACTGAAAAGAAATCACTGGACTGGGAAGGAATCATGAAGCTTTGGGCTGTTGTACATCTCTCTAGAACTTGGTTGGGGGGCATTACATTGCCAGAAGATTGGGAAAGGGGCAGGGATAGTGGGAGCTGGGGGTGGACATAGATTCAGTGATATAAGGCTGGACACCATAGTGCACCCAGAACAACTCCACCTGGGATCCAGGAACCCCAGCTTCCACAAAGCAAACCTGGAATGGTCCAGGCCCTGGTACCAGCCAGATTTGCCTCTGAAAGGGCACAGTGGCTGGGCCTTTGTTGGAGTTGATGGATGGTAGAGAGGGTGAGAGAGGAATTTCTGATCCTCTCTTCTCTTCATGAGCATCAACCGGGGCCTGAGAGTCTGAGATGTTTCCTCTCCCACCCATGACTCTCATGGAGAAAGTTTTTACCTCTCTGTGGTGGTGCACTAGGTAATTCCAGAGCAGAAAGGCAAGTGGACAACTTTACCTACCTTGAGAAGGAGCCCATATTTATAGCCTGATTGTAGGACCCCTCTACCTTTTGCTTACTCCCTTCTCTTCCTTTTGCTTACTCCCTTTCCTCCCTCTCAATAACTTTCCCTCCTCCTTGGGCTGCTGGGCCTCAATGCAGACCAGCAGCTCCCCTCACAGGAGCTTACTGTGGAAAGTCCAGTTACAGGATGCACTCGGACCCTGGCCTAGGCATGTAAGAGGAAGTGGGAGACGTAGAATTTGCTTCTTGTCCAGAGATTGCAATTTGCTTGGGGATCCCGGTCTTTCTCTTCCTCATCCCATCTCTGGGAAGTGTCCAGCCCCTTCCACCCAGCCAGAGGACTCTGCCCAGCCCAGATTCCAAGGTGTCTCTGAGTTTGTCTGGCCAGCCTGCCCCTCCCCTCCCCTTTCCCTGAAGTCTGAAGGTCTAGGGTGGCCTTTGTCCTCTCCACCCACCAGGGAAAATGGGTGGGGGGGACCAGTCCCCTTCCTCACTCTAGAGTGGCGATCCTCGAGGTGCCACAAAGGGCTTCGGAAGCAAAGAATGAAGTGTATCCACAGCCCTTTCCATTGAGGCTGAGTCCTGAGGCCCTTGCTATGTTCACGTCCATGATGAGGTTTTGCTAGGTGCTTGCTAAGGCAGAGGGGGGATAGAGAGAAGGAAAAGAGAACTAAACAGCTGGAAACAGGAAAATCCAAGTGCAAGGGTTTGAGAGTGAGCCTGAGTTGCAAATGCCACAGATGAGAGGACAGGTGACTCCAGCCAAGGTTGCACTGTAACTCCCAAACACCCCTCAGAAGCTTCTTAGAGAGAATGTAAAGCGAGGAGGCCAAACGCCTCCTCCCTATCTCGAACTGGCTCCTGGGGCTGCAGACTGAGCGGGAGACTACCCGTAATCAGCGGAGAGCTGAGGGGAAAGACCCGGTCCCAGCACCTGCTGTCCACTCCAGGCCTCGGTCCAAGAGGGCAGGCCTGGCCAGGCCGCAGCTACACCCCGGCTAATAGAGCGCCAGCGCCTGCTCGCGCAGCACCACACGCTTCTTCTTCATACGCCGGTTCTGGAACCAGATTTTGACTTGCTGGTCGCTGAGGTTCAGCCTGTTGGACAATTCTTTGCGCTTCTGCCGGTTGATGAATTCGTTGACGAGGAATTCGTTTTCCAGCTCTGCGATCTGCTGCTTCGTATACGGTTTCCGCTTCTTGCGGGCCCTCCCCGGGGCCGCCCCCCACGGCAAGCCTGCAATACAGCCCCAGTCTGTGTCAGACAGGCTGGCTCCGACCGCTACCCAGCCCCGGTGGCTCCCCTCCCTCTAGAATGCTCCCCTGCACCCCACCTCCCAAACCGGCCCGGAGAGCGTGGGCACCGTTTACCGTCGGGCAGCGAAGGTCGCAGGCAAGAGGCGACGCCCGCCGCCTGCACTGTCACGTTCAAGTTGAGCGGGCCCTTGCTGTCGTCTTTGAAGCCTGCGGAGCAGGGGGCCCCCTGGAGCAAGGTCGCAGAGCCTGGCGCGGCACGGCCCACGCCCGCATAGTCGTACTTGGTCGCTTTGAGCGCGGCAGCTGCAGGGGCCAGGCTAGACTCGGGGACGAAAGGCGGCCGAGAACGGCCACGCTCTTCGGGCCCGGCGGCCGCTTCGGGCGTATAGAACTTGACCTGTTCTTCGGGTCCGTCCTTGGCGCCCGGGGGCTGCAGACCAAGAGGCCCGGAGCCGGCCAGGTAGGGCTGTGAGAAGCCTCCAAAGGCACTGGCGCTGGCAGGCTGCGAGGGGGCACACGAGGCAGGAGTGGAGGCCCAGGGCAGCGACCCGCGAGGATAAGAGATAGGGGGAAGCGCGGCCAACTGGCCGCCATTGGGCCGCAGGTTGGAAAAGTAGAAAGAGTCGGGCGACTGCAGATTCAGAAGGGAGCCCACATAGCCCGCTCTGTAGAGACTGCGCTCACACATCTCCAACAAAGGGCTTCGGCCGCGCTCGCGACAGTATTTAGTTACAACCCGGAATAAGAAGACAGGCTGAGACGATTGGACGAAACTTTGCCTGCAGGTTCTTCAAAGTCGATCATTTCAGCACCGCCTACATCCCCCCGACCCGTTTCCCCGCCTTCGGGGTATTATGATAACACCCGAAGGCTGGAAGGCGAAGGACGAGGCAGCCGCAGAGCCAAAACGGGTTGAGCAAAGCGAAGCCAATACCAGTTTCCAGGCTGGCTTCAGGAGCTGGAGGCAGTGTGCTGAAGGTGCCTTTGCCCAAGTGTCCCTTGGGACCCTTCCTGGTCTTGATTGGCTTTGCCATTCTGTTTTCCTCAGGCCACCTGGGCCGGGCTTGCTTCTACCGGCTTTAAATTGCAGCTGAGGCGTTTTGCAGTAGCCAGTGCCTCTGGGCTTGTCAAGAGAGGGCGCGGCCTGGCAATGCCACTCCTCTCAGTCCCTTTCATACAAAGGACCTCTCAGGAGGCCGCTGGGGAGGAGGACCAGGCAGCAAAGTCCCATTCATTGCAGGAGCCCTGGCTTCCAGGCCACAGACATGTCCAGGGGTTTACCAAACTCGAAGTCGTCACAAACCGCCCAAGTTTGGTGCCCAGGAAGGATGCTTCACACCACCCCTGAGGTGTGTCCCCATGGCCAGCCAGGAACTCTGCTCCTAGAGAAGTCGCCATCCAGGTCCAACAAGAATGCTGCCAGGAAATCCAGCAGTTTGAGTAGACAGTTGTGGCCAGGAGTCACTTTAGAGACTACACCCTGCAAATCAGAACTCCAAGGTGGTGGGCAGAGCAGGACAAACTCCTCCGACAGAAGCGGGGAAAGCAGAAGAGCCAGAGTCACCTGGCTCAGGCAGGGTGGGGGCAGGGAAGCGGGCACAGGAGGCAGCCAGCCAGCAGTGCTTCACGCCTCTAAGCTTCCAGGAGGCAGGCAGCTGGCGGGTTTACGGATCTGGCAAACAGGCAAGCAGGAAGGGCAGCCGTCCCTGCTAAGGAGCAGAATCCGCAGCCCCTGCGACAGGCCCTTCTGCATAGTCTGCCCGGAGAACTAGGGGTCTTCTGCCTCCAGTACCAGGACCCCAGAGATCCCGTCCTCAATTCCCGAAAGGGGCGCCTGACCCAGCCTGCAGCAGCCCTCCCTCCAGCCCC